TAATGCATGGTTTGTTTCTATTCATGATACAGTCAGAACTTGTTAAACCAAAGTCAATATTTTCAAAAAAAAAAAAAAAAAACTTCGATTTAAAAAACCTTAATAAAATCGGCTTATTGAGGTAAACTTGACAGGTAGATAATAAAACAACATCGGCTTATCATGTATATTCAGTTTATCAAAGCATTGTTTTAACGAGTTCTGGCTGTATGCTTATTCGTTTTATTCGTTTTTATTCGTTTTTATTCGTTTTATTCGATTTTATTCGAATTTATTCGATTTTATTCGATTTTATTCGATTTTATTCGTTTTATTCGTTTTATTCGTTTTTATTCGTTTTTATTCGTTTTTATTAACATTAATTAATTATTCGTTTTATTTGTTTTATTTGTTTATTTGTTTTATTGTTATTAATTAGTTTTTCGTTTTATAAATTAATTATTTGTTTTATTAAATAATTATTTGTTTTATTTTACTTGTTTTATTTGTTTTATTTGTTTTATTTGTTTTTGCTCAAATTATTTTTTTACTCAAATTATTTGTTTTATTCAGTAAACTTTATTTGAATAGAAACCTAACTGCTACTCAAGATTATGATATTATTTTAGCACAAAAAGATTTAGAAATAATTTAATTATAATATAAAAAAGAGTTATTGGTTTATTAAACTAAGCCTAAAAAAAGGATTAATTTTAAAAGAATATCTGATAAATATCGGCATTTTCAATATTTACTAGTAGGCTTTTAGACTATATGATAAAAATACTAAGAATATTATTAACTTATCAGTATGCCAATACCAAAATTACTTTTTTAAAGAATAATCAGATTCTGATATTTGCTGATACCCCATTACCCAAGTTGGACCAATAGATTATATATACAGTCGGCGCTCGATATAGTGAAGTTTTGGCTAGTACAAATTTGGAAACTATCTGCGTTAATATCCAATCAAATTCAATTTTTTAGAAGATAGTTTCCAAATTTGTACTAGCCAAAACTTCACTATATCAAGCGCCGACTGTAATTAACATTCTAATAAAATAAAACTCGGACATTTCTTATATATTAATATTATTAAGGTGATAATTGTTAATAAACTTTTAAAAATAAAAACATTGTCTTTATTTTCTTTGTTTAAAGGGCTTGATAAAGGCAACAAGTGTAATTAATGTTTTGGTAAAAGATAACGATTGTGGAGCTTTGGTAAAAATCCCACATTTACTTGCTTTAGTGAGCAACCAAGCAAGGTCAGGACTAATGTTGATTAAATAATAGTGAGCATTAACAACGATTGGTAACGTAACGTATTTTGCTCTAGTGAGTAAACAAAGGTTTGGTCTCACAGATTCGTCTAGGTGCAGTAATTGAAAACCAAAGTAAAGCTGTAAACTAATTAATTGACAAGCACCGAATTATTGTGAGTTATTAACTGACAAGAGTAGCTCCAAAAATTAAGCCGTAAATGTGTGACACTTCATAATATCACCATTTAACAAATACATTTATTAATCAAAGAAAATTTTATAACAATAAAAGATAATTTTATATATTTATTAATCAAAGAATTTTTC